TGTTCCTTTTCAGTAATTTAATTACTTTCTTTGCCCCCTTACCTTCTCATCTTTGCTTTGTAGCAATTGTTGACCATTAGATCTCATATAGATGATTTATTAAAGATGGTCACTACTAACGGGTGACATTACTTCTTTTATGAGCCAATCTTTTATTTAACTAAAAAGGGACCTTAGGGTATAATTTTGGCTTAAGGTTTATGGAGTCATCTGGTGTGGTGCTGTGGGTTAATGCGCCAGACTGCAAAGCCATTTGAACTGCAAGGTTGGTGCTTCAAGTTCACCAGCTGCTCCTCGGAAACCCTATACAGGGTTGTTATGGGTCGGAACTGACTCGACAGCACAACACAACAACAGCAACAAGTCTCAACTGGTCCACTAAGTCTGGACTTTTTAAGAATTTGAGTTCTGTTCCATATTTCTGTTTCATCTGCTGTGGCCCTGATCAAAATTATTGGTAGTGGTAGCCAGGTACAATCTAGTTCTTTTGGTCTCAGAGTAGATTCAATTATTGTTCACATAGATTATGAGTCCTACAAACTAGTTTCTTCTCTGAGTCTTTTGTTTCCTTCTTTCTCTTTTGATCTGGACAAATACAGACCAATAGTTGTATCTTACATGGCTTCTCCCAAGCTTTTATGACCTCAGAGACTTTGCACTAACCTAGGATGCAGATTATTAACTTTATGAACTATAATATACTAATTGACCAAGCTGCCCATGATATTTTGGTCATAACCTAGGCTGTAATTTTTATGAGTATAGTTTTTTAGACTTTTTCTCCCATAGAGTCACTGGGTTAGTTTGAACCACTGACATTTTGGTTGGTAGTCAAGTGCTTAACCGCTGAACCATCAGGTATCCCTAAAAACAATATATATGGATATGTAATTATTGAATTGTTGTTATTGTTGTTAAGTGCCATCGATTTGGTTAGAAATGTTTTCATTATTTTGTTGTTGTTATTAAGTGCTGATGAGTCCGTTCTGACTCCACAGCAATTCTATAAGGGTCTTTTGAAGAGTCATTGAGTGGCTGATGGGTTTGAATTGTGACTTTGCACTTAGCAGTCCAGTGCTTATCTTACAGCACCACACCAGCACTGTGATCATAATTATAGTAAGTTGATAAAAAAAACTAAAGATGAATAAAATACCAAAGAAATAATTTCTGAAAGATCACAAGCTGGAAAGTAATTCATCACTGTGAAAATTCATATTGATAAAGAAATTGACTTTGAAAGAATACTGTAGTTTGTTTAAACATACTGTAGTTCTTGAGATGGATCTATCTATCTATCATCTATCAATTGATCAATCTAACCACCCATAATCTATCAACATAATTCTATGATATATTTAGCTATCCATTTGTCCTTAAAAAGCTTTATTATCTCTGTTAATAATATTTCTGTTCAATTATTCCATTAAAAAAACTATTCAGTAACAAAGTACAAAGTTGTGACTTTGAGGTCTAAGTTGCTCCTGACCCAAGGCATGGTATTTCAATCACCTCATATGCATGTGGAAATTAGACAATGAATAATAAAGACCATAGAAGAATTGATGCATTAGAAATGTGATGTTGATGAATAATATTTAAATTAAATGGATTGCCAGAACAAGCAAATCTATCTTGGAGGAAGTACAATCAGAATGCTCCTCAAAAGTAAATATAGTGGGATGTCATCTGTAACAATTAGGATTGACTATGCCAGGAATTCAAGATGTTTAGCAGTTGAGATGTGTTCACAGATCAGCTCAAGAAGATAAAAGACAAATAGATCTGGAATCAGAAAACCAAAAAGGAAGAACACAATCAGCATTTCTCAAGCTGGGGAAACTGAAGAAAAAAATTCAACCTTGACTTTCCTTATTGAAAGATTCTCTGGGCAAATTATTGAATGATGCAGAAAACATCAAGAGAAGATGGAAGGAATACACAGAGTCACTGTACCAAAAGAAAAGGGGTAATATTCAATCATTTCAAGAGGTAGCATATGATCAAGAGCCAATGATACATAGGGAGGAATTCCAAGGTGTATTGAAGGAATTAGGAAAGAACAAGGCACCAGGAATTAATGGAATAAAAATTGAAA